TTTTTACATTATGTTAGGAAACAATTATTATTACCCAATTTTTTGGTAAAATAGAAAAGATGAGGTCACGTCAGGTAAATAGACACCAAACATGTCAAGCCTTAAAATTGTGCGCACCTGCGAAATCGAATTCACCATAGATGATGCTTCAAAAGCTTTTACCGCTCATCAGTGATTAATGGCCCTAGAATTATTGCGGTCACTGCGACGTTCACGGTGATATGTAACACGTGCGGTGTAATGGGTGCAATCGTCATTTTCGCACATATGCACACCCGACGCATGTTTGCACGTGTGTATGTATGGGTGGAGACTTAAAAAAATGATGTTGTGTTTTTTTTAAATCCTTTTTCATGTGTGACTTTAATTTTTTTTTTTTTTTTTTACTTAACATTATTGTTATCACATAGGGGGCTATCAGAGATGTGACAGGTCCTCTTCATTTAGACATCAGCGGTCTCCCAGACACTAATGTGACCTAGGGACCCCCAAAGAATCTGATGAAGCAGAGATCTGCTTCATCAGCTTCTCTCCAGCTTCACAAAGGCCGGCCGGGAGTATAAAAAAAGTGAAAAAAAAACCCCAAAATGTTTAACTCCCCCACCACAACGTTTACGCACCTATAAACGTAAATACGCGTCCGGTGCCTAAGCGCGCAAAAACGACAATTGCGCTACACATGTTACATATCGCCGCGAACGTCGCAGTGAGAGCAATCATTTTAGGGCCATCAATCACTGATAACACTAAACTGATGAGCGGTAACAGCTTTTAAAGCGTCGCCTATGGCCAATTTTGGGTATTATCGTTTTTTGAGGTTTCGCGCACGCAATTTTAAGGCCTGACATGTTTGGTGTCTTTTTACCCGACGTGACCCCGTCTTTTATATTTTACCAAAAAATTGGGTAATAATAAATGTTTTATCATTTAATATAGGGGAAACTGTTTGTTTTTTCAAAAAAATTTCGGTAATTTTTCCTTAATATAGTAAAAAATAAAAACCCCAGTGTTGAATAAATACCACCAAAATAAAGCTCTATCTGTCCCCAAAAAAGGGTATAAAATTCATTTCAGTACAGCGTTGCATGACGGAATAAATGTCAGTCAAAGTACCGCAGCGCTGAATACTGAAAAATGGCCTGGATGGGAAGGTGGTTTAACACCGCGGATGTCAACTGGTTAAAGGAAAACACCCCTTTCATTAAAAAAATTAATCTAGCATATCAAATTGCTACACAAGCCATTTTGTAATTTAATGTTATTGAAATGACACTTCGGTTTCAGTCTGAAGCTGCTGTAGTTTTCTAAAACTGATAAGAAATGTCAATGCAATATGGCAGCTTGGAGGTATTTCTGTAGAAAAGTGGAGTTACACTTTAAGTAAACCATTACTTTTACTTTACATATAACGCTCCTTAGTTGCCTTGGCTATAATGGGGTGACACTGGATTTTTTTGTCAGTTTTAGAAAACAATAGTAGCTGGAGTTCATTATTGAAAAGTCATTTTTAATAACCTTAAGTGGCCTGTGTAGCATATATGTGGTATTTGAATTTTTAACAAAGGAAGTATTACCCTTCAATTTACTAAATCTAACCAAAGCAGACTTATGCAGTGCTCTTGTATAACATCTGTAAAAAAAATAAAAGTCACATCCTGTCATCATAAGCAGTTCTTTTTACAAAAAGGATGTACATACATTTACAGCAATGTCTATTTATTGCTCATCTCCCAATTCTCAAAATAGTTTAATAGACATGCTGTGGCTATTAACCTTGATGCACCTATCGCAAGTTCCCCCACTCCCACCCCTCCCTGCTGCAATGTGTGTGGCACAGGCAGAGTACTCTCTAATGATGCTGTGTCCTCTATGAACTTCTGTCCTTCAAGATGGTGCCAGGGGGAAAGCACTAGTGAGTGTGGTATTAATCAGGAGGGGCACTGTTTGCAGAAATTTGCCCTCACTGTGCATGTGGAGCTGACCTCAACTGGCTCAGCAAACATGCACAGTTAACAATGTGAACAGTAGTATGGCTTTTTACGTATTTCTTGCTACTGTTCCTGAATGTATGTAATGAAAGTGAAGCATCAGTAAAAAAGCTGAGTGTGCTTTTCAGCCATAATTTGTTGGATGGTGGGCAACAATGATCCGGACCCAGGAGTCTTCAGGGTATGACAATTGGCCGAAGATTACTTGCCCACCAACTGCAAGGAAATCGTGAAAAGTGTTAATAGGTTGTATTTAGAGTTTTTAACACCTCTTTACTAAACAATAATATGCTATATCACACCAAAGTACAGTCCCCCAATATCGTGCAGATTGTTTTTGCAGCTGACCATTATTCAGTGTCTATGACCAGCACTAGGCCATGTAAAACATATGATATCAATTAGAATTAGGGGCTAATTTATAAATCTGCCCAGGACCATCTAGTGGTGGTAGTGCCATGAAAATAGCATTCCTCCAGCCCGTTAGGGTTTAGTACTCTGATTGAGCCTGACCAATAACACTGTTATTGTTTGTACATTATCAAAAGTACAATTAATCCCTTGCTTTCCACCCATTGTAAAAATATGGGCGGACGCTTCCTGGCGGGTGGACGTACATTTCCGTGATTTTTTTTCTGCTCGCATGTGCCCCTGACCAGCAACCTGCCGGGAATATAAACAGCCGTCACCGGCTGTTACATTCAAGCGTTCGCTTATATGACACTGCACAGTGCGCCCCGTCCTCTGCTGCCGCGCCTCCCCCTCTGCTGACGGTTATCCCGGGCAGCTCTGTTTCCCTGCGGTGCCCAAGACAGAGAACACCGGCTACTAGTAGAGAGAAGGAGGAGAGATTAGCATTCCCCCACCACTGATCTCTCCTCGTCTCTCTCTAAAGGCAGAAGCGATGTGTATTACATCACTCCCGCCTTTAGCTGTCATTTATTTGGCTGCTAGCCAGAGAAGAAGGGGACCCTGATGTCTCCATAAAAGCACCTGTCATTGTATATTGGCTATTACATAGGGGGATTTTTATCCCCCTATGTAATAGCAATCAAGTTAAGTGTAAAAAAATAAAAATCAAATAAAAACAAATGAAAGTCTCATATAAAAAAAAAACACCAAAAACGTTTTAACTCCCCTGCCCCCGCGGGCACGCACTTATAAATGTAAATAGGTGTCGCATGTGCAAACAATGATTACGCCACACATGTTACATATCGCCGCGAACGTTGGAGTGAAAGCAATAATTCTAAGGCCATGAATCACTGATAGCACTAAATTAATGAGCGGTAAAAGCTTTTTCAGCGTCACCTATGGCATGGTAGTTTTTGCAATTTCGCGGGCTCACGCAATTTTAAAGCTTGACATGTTTGGTGTCTATTTTCCCAACGTGACCCCATCTTTTATATTTTACCAAAAAATTGTGTAATAATAAATGTATATTTAACTAAATGTAGTAAGAAATAACAATCCCAGTGGTGATTAAATACCACCAAAAGAAAGCTCCATGTGTTCCCAAAAAAATGGTATAAAATTAATTTCAGTACGGCATTGTATGACTGAATAAATGTCAGTCAAAGTACCGCAGGGCTGAATACTGAAACATGGTCTGGACAGGAAGGGAGTTTAACACCCTGGTCAGCAAGTGGTTAGAGCTGAATTTCTTTAAACACTTCAAAAAACACTATCTTAAACATCAGCTTCCAGCATAATGTAAAATGAAAACATGATACGCTCAGTATTTGGGATTCCCATTAAAGTAGTCTATTTTGTTTAGGTTTTTTTCTAAAATATTTAAAACTCATGAAAACATTCCAGTGCATTTTGGGGAACTTAGATATGTGTACTGATATTTGAATCCCCAATTCGTTGGCTTTTTTCATGATTTTTAATATATAAAAGACTAAAGGCCAGCACTTCATTTCTGCACTTTTCTTTAGCACTCTATGTACCAGTGTACAATTACCCCAATGGCATTGATTATAATGAAATTAGTTCAAGATTCTTTATGCGTAAAAGGTCGAGATAGGTAATACTTACTATTTACAGATTTGTTTATGTGAATGTCCTTAGAATATCTATCTATTCAGAAAGTTGAAATTGAGCTTTTGAAATAATGTTGTTAGAATATGTTTTCCATCCAGAGTAAACAAATAGGCATTCACTTATTCCCTGCTGATTATTTATTTGTCTTCCTGTGCTGCATTTAATTTTGAAGCATCACATTACCCATTATTATATGCATTAGCTTTGGAAGCATAGTGGTATTATATGAGGTTATTGGAAACTTTATTGAAAAGTTTTCTATGGAAGCATTCCTTGTCCTTTAAAGATCAATTTCAGGCAAATGTATAAACTCCTATTTAGTCCATATTTATATTCACTGACAATTGGCTACATTCATAACTTGGTAATTATCTAGATTTATTTTTATATAAAGATGCAATTATCATCTTCTAGTAGCTAAAAACTCAAACAATCTGATAAATAGGACTAGTAGTACTGGTTGCTGAAACAAGAAACAACGGACAAAAGAGTTGTCACAGATATAAAATCATAGTTACATTATATCCCATTTCTTTTTTTGGTATGTCATATTATTTGGTGGAGGCAGTGTTAAAAAGTACAAAAACTTTGTCTAGTGTCAGGAATATGTAAAGATGCAGAGCTCAGACTCCCCAGAGACTTAACCTGAGAAAATGTAGGATTAATTAATCAGGGTAAATTAGCCAAACTGAAGGACCATTGCCCATTTGGGGACTTCCCATGCATTTGCGTGACAATAACTTGTCTAGCAGTCCTCCAAAGAACCAAAAGTAACCATAAGAAATGTTCCCCCATTTACCTGAGTGGAATTAAAATTTGAAATTTGAGTTTGAATTTGAACGTTTGAAGTAACATGGAATTTGGACATATTAGCTCATCACAAATCAGGACAATATTTATTGCTCTGACAGAACCACAAATAATGGATTACACATACAAACCAATTAAATGCTCTCTTTTTTGTAGGGTGAGAAGTATGACGGGCGTAGAGCCGATGTGTGGAGTTGTGGAGTTATCCTATTTGCTCTTCTTGTGGTAAGTCAATAAAAAAGACATATACTGTATCAGACCTTGTTAAACTAATGCAGAAAATCTTCGCAATTGTTTATGGTTAATACACATTGCATAAGACCTGGATATTATAACCACCATGTTTACTAGATTCTCCATTGGACACCCTCAAATGTTGTTCTGATGCTGATTTCTTATTTGTTGGTATACTCTGCCTAACTGTTTGCTGGCCTTTTTTTAGCAATAACTTCAGTTTCTCAACCAAAACAACCAATAAACGATGATTATACCTAAAATAATTCTCCTTCACAAAATACCAAATGTATTCTATCCCAGTTTTCCTTCGGTTTTTATACACCCTCTCACACTACAATAGGATGTTATAGTCCTTAGGATACATAGTTATACAGTGGGTGTAGAAAATACAAATAAATGACATTTTGTTGCTTTGCAGCCTGAAATGAAGACATACATGGTTTCTGTTTTATCCAGCTGTATTTACTAAGTGCAACTTATAATATCCAAGTGAAAGATATAACACCAACATGTCAGAAAATAATTCAAAAACAGAATTACTTAGTTGGTGAAAATGACATGTAAACTCAATCAGGTGTAGCTAATCACCTTCTCAATGGCACACAAAGCCATTTGACTTTCAGCTGTAATCAGATGTGGTCATTTTGATTAGCTCAGCATGAAAAGAGCTTTCCTGGAGCATTTCAGTCCCTTGTAGTGGAACTGAAGCAAACAATCAACTATGGATGGCAAGGCACTGTCAAAAGATCTCCGGGATAAAGTTGTGGACAGGCACAAGACATGAGATGGATACAAAAGAAATTCAAAGGCTTTATCAATGACTAGACGCACAGTGAAGTCTATTATTAAGAAGTGGAAGGTATTTGGTACAACACAGACCCTCCCTGGTTCAGGACATCGCTCCAAACTCCGAAGCAGTTGCATGAATTTATGACCAAGAGTGATCATTGTGTGCATGTGACAATAATATCACAAATTATCCACAAATGTGGCTTGTATGGTAGGGTTGCAAGAAAAAAAGCCACTCCTCAAGAATGGCCACATGCTTTCACAACTGAGCTTTGCCAAAACGCACCTTGAAGATTCTGAGGCCACATGGAAAAATGTGTTATGGTCAGACTAAAATTGAATTGTTTGGCCTCAACACCAAACGATATGTCTGGCGGAAATCTAATACAGCTCACCATCCAAACAACACCATTCCTACAGTAAAGCATGGAGGTGGTAATATCCTGTTATGGGGATGTTTCTCTGCAGCAGGGACTGGAGCACTTGTCAGGATAGAAGGAAAAATGGATGGGGCAAAATATCGTCAAATTCTTGAGGAAAATGTGCTGCCCTCTACCAGAAAGTTGTCAGTGGGAAGAAGGTTTACCTTCCAACGTCATGTTGAAAGGTGAACCTTCTTCCCACTGACAACTTACATTGTCATAATGACCCAAAGCACACAGCAAAAATTACCACACAGTGGTTGAAAGAGAAAAGGGTGAATGTCCTTGCATGGCCTAGCCAGAGCGCAAACTTAAACCCCATTGAAAATCTGTGGAATGATTTGAAGACCAGTCCCCACACGATCACCATCAAATTTAACTGAACTTGAGCAGTTTTGCAAAGACAAGTGGGCACATATTGCAAAGTCTAGATGTGCAAAGTTAGTAGAGACATATCCCAACAGACTAAAGGCTGTATTTAAAGTGAAATACTGACACAAGGGGGTGATCCTTTTTCCAACTCGGTGATTCTATATTTGAACTTTTTTTATTTTTTTATGACATGTTGGTATTATATCTTTCACTTGGATGTTATAAGTTGCACTGAGTAAATACAGCTGGATAAAACAAAAACTGTGTCTGTCTTCATTTCAGGCTGCAAAGCAACAAAATGTAATTATTTTAAAGAGGGTGATTCTTTTCTATACCCACTGTAAGTACCCTAAGATTGCAGCAAATACATTTGGTATCCCTTGTTCACAATGGACATGTAGTTATATTTTCCTAAGCTCCCATATTTTATGAAAAATGGTTAGTACATCCCTGCATCTAAATTCATAAAAAATGATAAGTAAAAAAAGAACTAAAATAAACATAACTTCATTTAAAAAAATCATGTATCGTGTGTCCTCAAGTTTAGTCTTAACCGTTCACATTGGACTCAGAACTGTTATATTGGGGCTAATGTTGAAGACAAAAAGACAGTGTGAAATTCACCAAGTGTTAAACTGCAGTCCATTCACTTCTATTGTTATGTTACGCTGCCCAGTTCAAATATCATTAATAGCTTTACTAGAGATGCTTTTCATAAATATACCTAAAGTATATATTCATACATAAATCTATTTACACTTGATCTTGGAAAGCTACAATACTTATATAATTTTAAAATTAGTTTTATACAAATAGCTACAGAATTACTAACAATATATTCATGCTGTTCAGGGCAAAGGGTACGACATGATCAAAGATCAGTCTGCGGCATAATGTTTTCATTTGTTTGGCAGCCTCAAGGCACTAATGCAGCCTGTAATCACTGCTGAAGCTATATACATGCAGTAAATCCCTTGCATTCAGGTCCACTCCTGACCCCATTGTATGTTGAAGAAACTTTAATTGTCTAAATCTTTGCACAGAAATTCTGAGCTGAAATATTTGGTGCTCCCAGCAATTGTTCTAGGTTGTAGTAGTAGTTTGAGAGTTTGCTGGAATATGAACCATGGAAGGCTTCAGCACTGCAAACCCATACTGCTCATCACTGAGCTACCAGTCACGTTATTATTATACAGTTGTGCCGCTTTAATAACTAACTCCAGAATGAATAACTTTACAAAATGTATGCTTCTATTGAAAATGGGTCCAGTCCCTATCCGAATTTATACATACAGTGTAAAAATTGAAGCCGTTGTTTACTAGTCATTTCTAATATGTTTTTTCTTTTGTGCTCATGTTCATGAAATTTGTCTTACAGGGAGCGTTGCCATTTGATGATGATAACTTGCGCCAGCTTTTAGAGAAAGTGAAGCGAGGTGTATTTCACATGCCACATTTTATCCCACCGGACTGTCAGAACCTGCTGCGTGGCATGATCGAAGTGGAACCAGAGAAAAGGCTTAGTGTTAGTAACCTATTATTTCCAACCATCAAATTATTTTAAAAGCAGTTCTGTTTTTTAACAGCACTGTACAAGCTGTGAAATGAATTCTCTTCCATGTTCATTCTCCTTCTTTCTGTATCCATTACCCATTGTGGTTGTCTCAGATTACGCAAATCCCTACCATGTGGTGCTAGGCTTTGAAGCGGAAGGAGTGTGCTATAATACAGCAATAGTGTGTGTGTGTGTGTGTGTATATATGTATATGTATATATATATATATATATATATATATACACATATAC